CCCTTGAAGAAAGGAAAAGCGTTAAATATTTAAAAGTGAATATATATATATATATATATATATTTTTTATTATTATTATTTTTTTCCTTAACATACATACATTGTGAAGTGTGCGCATGAAAAGAAGCGACGCGCCGAAGAAACGGCGTCGCTCCACCGGCCCGGGAGGGAATGACCGTTCCATAAAGCGGAGAAAACCAACAAGCACTTCGGCGTCTGGGCGCTTTCTTCTGTGTTTGATGCCAAAGCTACACGAGACCTGGTGAGAAACTAAACCAATAAGAACATAATGCACTTTGTGCAAAAGCCCCTAATGTTATGCAAATGGTTCCTTGCTGAAGGGGCCGGTGTATTTTTCGGGCTGTAGCGCCCTGAAAGCTTCCATTACTAGAGGATTAAGCAAATGTTGAAAGTTCTTGTTCTCCTTGGAAACTGAGCCTCAGCCTCCATCTAATCCTGTGATCAGTTTTTCTTTTTCGGATTTTTTTTTCTTCTTGGGTTTTTAAATTACCGGCTATCTGCTCAGTTCATTTTTTGTAGTTGTATCTTTCTTTTTCTTACAGTTGAAAATGTGTTACATTAAATCCTTTACCCTCCCTTACTGCAGTGTTTACTTATGTATTTATTGATTTTTGTTACGCGTGTTTTTTTTCCTTGTGCTGGAAATTGATTTCTGCGGCTTCTGAAGAAGTTTGCGATTGACCTGCTTTTCTAAGTATACTCTTAATTTCTTTTGTCTATGAGGATCTCTTTCGGGCTTTGTATGTGAAATGTGCTTGTCATTGTTCAAGCTAAGATACCATGAAATGTTACTACTCAAACGTTCCAAAACACATTGTAAAAATGCATAACTTATCATCTAATTATATTTATTAAAGTGTGGCATTTTTCTTCTTGTGTAGTATTTAATTTACTTCCGTGTGTAGATCATTAAGAATGATGATGATACTTTATTCGTTGGTGATATTTTAAAACATTATATTGTTTCAAATTAAATAGTCTCAAACACTCCAATTTATGATTAATAAAAATGACTTATCGATACTTTTGCATTTGGGTGAACTTTTGTATCAAAATCGTTGTGATACTCAATTTCTGTGGGATTTTCCTCCAGCTGGTTATCCAGTACAGAGTGACAGGCAATTCGGTAAAAATGATTAATATTTTGATGTTTAATACATTTGAATGATAATATTTACTGCAAGGATTTTTTTTTGGTTGACATTTGGAAAAAAAACACATGACAGAAAATCGTTGCAAAAATTTAAACATGTAAAACACATTTTCAGTAAAAACTTGCAGTGCTTTTAATTTTTGAGGCTTTAACAAAAAGATCTTTTTTGCTTGCTAAACACACTATTGTATAAAATGCCTTTATAGTAGAAATATGTAATCTACCACTAATAAAATGTAAACATTTCCAGTCAAACTCTCTTTCAAAATGTCTTAATCAGGACAAAATATTTTAAACGTGCATCTCTGGCCTGGCTTCACCTGATGCCCTGACAGGTCTCTCGCATGGCGACTGGACCTGGTGAGCGAGGAACTTCATCAGCGTCCTGCTGACAAACGATTGCAAGCACATGCTCCATTAAAGACAAATGCCTGTTTTTCACCTTGGTTTTACTTTCGGCAAATTGACAATTCAAACAAATTCTTGTTTGTTTTTTTTAAGAAAGTATTCACGCAAAGCAAAAGGTACTTAAATCGACCAATTTATTATAACCGACCACTTGGTATTGTTAAAAAATGGTGTGTAAAAGATAGACAGTTAACCCTTCTGACAAAAGGCTGCTGTTTTCGCTCCTCGCCTGTGCACAGATGGCCTGCAGCATGCTGCTTACTGGCTTCGCCTGTGGAGTTTTCCATCACACTGGCCTGATGTGACAAAGGGGGACGAGGGCGCTGTGGCTGGGAGAATCTCTTGACGCTGCTTGAGCGTGTCTCTGAGCCTGTCCGAGCCGCGACACTTATTCTGACGCCCCTGTGCTGACTGATGTGACAATTCAATTTGCTTGGGGAGAGAGACTCTACCGCTCCAGTAAATTGTACTGAACCTGATTCATTACAAAAATGTGATAAAGAAAAGATCTTGTGCACCGCTGCTCTTTTCCTTTTATTGCATCATTTCCCGGCTATCCGCTGCTCTCTTTTGAGTTTGTATTACTGTGTATATCTGTACCACTCTACACTCTGAAACTGGTGTCTATACTGACATAAATGCAATACTCATTAGACAAAGTGTAACTCATTACTTTATATTAAACATACATGTGTACTTCTCTGTGTCTGTTGTTCTTTGTTTTATGTTTTGTATTTTATGTCCTTTGTTGTCTTTCTTTTATTGATGTAAATCTGTACAGCACTTTGGCCTACCTTGGTCGTTTATAAGTGCTCTATAAATAAACTTTGATTTGATTTCATGTGTAACTGTTCAGATATGGATACCATTTCCTTGTTAAGTATAAGTCCTATGAATTCCCAATCAATCTATCATTATTATTCTTTGCAGACAGTTGTTGATCCACGCACAACTGTGTAAACTAACAAATTATTAACCTACAGCTGGAAAAACAAACAAATCATTATCCTACAAAGTACCTGACATTAGTCCACTTGTCTCTGTGGTCAGTTATGCAATGAAGGTTTCCACACCACTGCCACAAGGGGCGCTACACAAACTGCCGGCAAATCACTCTTGTCTATAGATAGCTTTAAAAATTACTGAATTCTTTGAAAATGGGAAACCATATTGGCATTGCACAAAAATGTTACAAAAATCATCTCAAAACTTTTGTGATCATGTAACTTACATCTTCGTGGTGATGAGAAATACACAATTTTAGACGTCTTCTCTGGTGTCTTAAACCTGTGAAACATCTCACATGGGTTTGTAAGTCGGCTGGATACAAAACTAAAATTGAATAGATAAACAAACCAAAACCAACATACACTGACATTCAACAGCAGTCTAGAAACATGATGGATTGTTTCCGATTGTTCATTGTTTCCGGTTGTTCATTGTTTCCGAATTATGTTCTGCAGGGAAACAATAGCAGTCGCATAGCAAAACAATTGTCTTTTTATTTTTTGAAGAAAAAAAAAACCTATCCCTGGGCAGAGTCACAAAGGAGCTGGAAATCTCAATTATTGAATTGGTTCTGCGAAGAGAGACTGAGGGCGAGATGTGAGGGTGAGTAGGCAACAGCTGTGTGGTAGTCGCTTGGCGGATCTTCGCCCTCACGGGATTTCTTAAAAGAGCTGCTCCCTATTTCCTTTTAAGGAGATCAATATTCGGGATGCATGACTTTTCTCTTATAAATCAAAGTGCTTTGACAAATAATGGGCATGTTAATTTTAATAAGCACTGCGTTCATTGAGAAATTACTTCCATTCTCTGCTTTCTGCTAAGATGTTTTCTGGTGTCAGTTTTACAACAGTCAATTCAGCCGGAAATTCTACAAGAAAACCTTTTTCACTGAGAAATAAAACTAACCATTAGTCTGGCCAAATCTAGTAAGTTACTTTCAACTTTTGCAGCTATTTTTCTATCCAATATACTATTTTTTTCATATATTGCCATCCCTAGACTCCAGGGTTCAGAGGGATGGATTGAATGGGTAGATATTCATAACTGTTTTATCGTAAATGTCTAATCTAGTTACCTAAATCAGATGACGTAAGGAATGGGAGACCAGCTCCAGGTAAAGAATGCAGTCGCACAGTCCTGACAGACGACTTTGATTCAGATCCACAGCCGGGGGATGTCAGCCTCTGCTCACTAAGGTACCGCGCTACGATAACGAAACAAGAATGCCACCAGAGACTGTGGACCCCATGAAAGTATATCATATTGTTCCCCTAATCCCGACGAATCCAATTATGTTCCAAATTTTTTAAGGCCCCTGTCACTCAGCGGCCCCACGAATCGTCTTAAGCTTCCCCCCTCCTTGCGTCCCTGATGACGCAGTTCCTCGTATATTAAAATCCATTTAATTACATTACAATTATTAAATATGTTTCCGATGGCTGTGAGGCTCTGTTAAATTCTGTTTTCCAATTTGCATTTAATTGCCGCCTGCTCGTGAAGCGGAGCGGCTAAATTGCATTAAATGAATTCATTTAAGCACCTTGAAGTGTGATCAGACTTGGAAATCCCAGCAATCTGCTGAAGCCGACATGTCTGTTCCCGGCTGCTGTGCCACAACCTTGCATAGATCCCCTCGTGTTAATCACAAGTCACAGTACACTGGCGTGAATTAAACGAGACAAGGCCGCCGCTTTTAAAGTATGTGCTGCGCTCGATGTAACATTAAATAACGCCCCCTCGTTCCCGTTAATAAAAGTCTTAAAGCAGCAATATATTCGGCTGCTTAGAATGATAATGCAGTTAGCTGCAATATACGGAAAAGCTCACCTTGAAAACTTTCTTTGCATTCACGACACGACATGGAAGTAGGGGTATGCCCACATACTCACAGAGGCATGTTTCTTTTCTTTCTAGTATTTGAATGACGCACTAAATGAAACACTTACAAAACGGTCAATAGAACACATACATGTCGTCATTCCATTTGTTGGATTTGATGCAACACTGGTAGCAGTGGGAATAGGCTATTAAATAAGACAAGGCGATGCAAAACTAGAAACTAGCAAAATCATAGCATATCTGAATAGCAAGTACAAATATGATTGACGTTTTTTCCGTAGAAAAATGAGGGGTGGAAGTCATATAGTTTTATAAACCATAATTGATTTATTCTGTCCAACAGTCCAGAAAGGGATACATTGGGCGTTCTTTTCCAATGGGGGTGTTTTTTTTTCCTTCCGTAAAATACTATGAAATAGATATGATGTTCTTGGAGGTTAAAAAATATATAACGAGTATTTCACGTTTGTGAGGTTAGACATATGCAAGGGAAGACGGCGGGAAATCAACAGGAGAGAAAAGGAAGAGAGCGAGCGAGCAAAGCGTGGAGAGAAGGCGCTTGTCAGGGGGAAGCTTGCTAAGAAAACGCCTTTTTGAGGTCAAAGGAGGAAAATTGACTCGCGGTTATAAATCGCAAGGTTGGGTAGTGGGAATTTATTCTGCGGCCATAAACCACAGAGAAACGGCGTCAATAAGCCTTTTGTTGCGAAGTCTGTTGAATAAGCAGAATACGAGAAAAGAGGTGTCTAAGGAGGCGTCTGAGGACAGTCGGGGGATCCGCCTGTGTATGTATCTATATATATATGTGTATTCATGAGGATTGCGGCAGCTAGCAGGTACATAGGACATCCTTAAGGCCAGCTTTAGAAGTTCATCTTGCATCCGTCTGTTTGCTTCAACCCAGAGTGATCTTTGTTGTTGTAACATTACAAGTCTGATGACGATATATGTAAACCCTTACTCGTAAAACAATTAACACCTTGAATATTTTGTATCTTCACTTGGAAAATAACGACAAGAAAGCACACGTCTAGATTTGCATTCTAAACGATTTCCGCTGTAAACGACCATAATTCAGCGCAGAAGCAAACCCAAGCCGAAGTTGCATATATCTGGATTTTTCCCGTTTGTAAAACGCAACCTGAAGTCTATGTATCTATTAGGAGGGATCGTGTTTCAGTTTTGTGTGGGACTGCTTATAAAACCTTAACTTATACTGCAGCAAAGAAGGTCCCGCAATATCATCTGCCTCCTTGCCCAGTAATGAAATGTTAGGATCACTTCCACAGTCCTTTCTCCCGGCCGAGGTGGCTGTGTGGCCGCCTTGCTAATTCCCGGGGTAATTGAAACGCCGGGGCGGCGTCGCCGAGCGCCCTCCCGTCAGTGCCCGAGTCAGGTACGGTGGACCTATTCCTTATTTTAATTTAGGACCGCCGGACTATTTCTATAAGCTCCCTTTTAACCCACGGTTCCTTCAGTGCAGTTTGCTTAACATTTTAAAGGTTGTTTTCCATCTCTCAAATTGGGAAATAAATATGAGGGCCCAGGGATCATGGTTTATAATTAAACTGTCCTGCTTGCTTGGAGGCAGCGAGCAGACGGGTCACGTTGTAGACGCTGTAAATCAGGGCAGCAGCAGGAAAGGGGCTACCAGGAACTAATTTGAAGATGTCTGTCTATCGGACCTAACACAGCTTTGGTTTGCATTTAGGGGACTTTGGTGTGTGTGTGTGTGTGCGTAATTGGGGGGGGGGACTCTTAGATTGAATGCATGTAGGGAAGTCACTGGTCTGTGCCCCCTCATTCTGGGTATCTGCTTGAAAATAGCATCCACAGTGGTAAGGGAACTGTTAAACACATCGTTAAATATTGTTAAACACTATTAATTCCTTCAATATTATTAAGAGTTTCTTTCTAAAAATAAATAACTGCACTCATTGTCAGAGGGGAAGAGCTGATAGCAGTAACTAATTTGCAGCATTTCGTCTGCACCCTTACAGAAGACCAGGCCTGACAGGCAGGCCCCTCAAAACATGGGCCCCTCGACAGGTGGGCCCCTCGACAGCTGCCCCCCCCCCCTTCACCCCGCCTCGTAGGGTGACCTCAGCCTCCTTACTGGTCGCAAAGGCAGCGTCACAGTTGGGTCCCGTTTCTCAGGCTGCGTGGAAAAAAGCTCAGCAAACCCTGTCCGTCGCATCCCCTCGCTCGCTGTGAGCTGAATTGAAAGTCTCTGATATAAACAAGACAGTTTTCCAAGGTAAAATAAAGTCTGACAATAGAGAATAAAAATTTGTTGCATCTCTACGTGAAAAACTGCTTCTGTCCACCTGGCTTATTGTAAGATTTTGGCCTTTTCAGGATGACTTCATATGCGGCTGCTGTTTGTGTGGCTCCAGATTTATACCAAAGGGCTGTAATTTTTCCCCCAACGATTTGTAAATAATACGATAAATATGATGACAATCAATTAATAAATTAATGAACATTTAAGCAAATTAATAATCATTCACATATTTCAGTGGTTAAGTTCCCAATTAATGAGTTTAAAACACTCAACAGTGAAAGTGCTGTAAAGTAACAACGTATTTTTTGGCACTTTGAAACATTTCTGCTTGGATTTGCTCTTGTTTCAGCTCTTTTCAGGTGAGCTGCCGCAGATCAGCCGCTGTCTGTCGGGCTAATGTGCCGTCACAGGGTCACATCTGCACCTCAGCAGAATAATAAAACACTTCAGCTCTCAAGGACGTGGCCTCTCTCTGCACCTGCACTAAATTTTATTTGTATTACCATGGAGCAAGTCACTAGGCTCTGAGATATGTGATTATAAATACTATAAAAATAACGAGTGGTAGCCAAGTGGCTCTGTCTGCTGTTTTCAGCACAGTAAACAGTGAGCATCAGACTGGGGGTAGCAGGGTTGGGGCCATTCCGGAATGCATTGATCAATTCCAGTCCAAATCAGAAATGGAACTGGAGCTGGGATTGGAAAAAAAAACTACGGGGAATAGAATTGGAGTTGAATTTGAATTTCAGGGAGATTTAAGTTCCAACTCCAGTTCCATTTGGGCTGGAATTGATCAATGCATTCCGGAATGGCCCCAACCCTGGGGGGTAGTTACACTGTACACTGTACACTGTACACTTCACCCCCAGCCTTCCTGGTATATCCTGCCATTTTTTGAGGGAACTCGCCTTTCCACAGCCCAGCACTTGTTCCCATGGCGACTTGCCGGTGCAGGAAAGCGAATGGTGGTTTGCATTATTAATACATTTCATTAATTATGCAAATGGCGTCCCGCTGTAAGTATCCAGGACCGAGGAACACCGGGTTCCGCCTCTTAAAGGTTCTAGCCAAGCTGCCGTGGGGGGTTTTGTGAACACCGTCTCGCCTGGCCTTCCTCGGGCCCTGGGCCCCGATTCCTCATGCACCTCCCTGACAGAACAGAGCCTAAGGGGAGAGAGAGAGAGAGAGAGTCTCCGCTCAGAGGTGATCTGGCCCACTGGATATCCTGCCTTATTTACAAAGACCTCGGAAAATATTCTCTGAGCCTGCAAAAATTCATATTCTCATTGAAATTCTTTTCTGTTGGAATTATATAATATAATGCCACCTTACACGTCTCAGAAGTTAATATATTATGGTTTTCCATAATGATAAATTAATGTTGTAATTGAATGATTTAAATAAACCAAGCTATTTACTGTTAATGTGCTAAATTATCAGTTTTGGTAAATTAAATTAGACTGTCAGACTCAGCACCAGTTACCTGCCTTTTTTCCCCAGTTTAGGTCATTTCCTGGAGGCTTCAAAGCTAAACTGAACAGTAAACATCAAGCCAGGGCAAGATCTTGTGAGTCGACCTCACATTTCTGTTCCCACAATGCACACAACTCACAAAGCAACTCAAACAAGCATCAGAAATTGTTTAAGAGAGCTCATTTACGCCCCCCGCCCCCCCCTCCCCACCCTCGGCCCTGCTGTGTCCCAAAACGGGCCCATTCTTACATGGTAAGCAGACACATTTTACTTTAGTGCCTCTGAGAGCAGTGAGAGGGAGGGAGCTAGACAAGTTTTACCGGTCTGTGTGGGATCTGTAAGTNTAGTAAGTTACTTTCAACTTTTGCAGCTATTTTTCTATCCAATATACTATTTTTTTCATATATTGCCATCCCTAGACTCCAGGGTTCAGAGGGATGGATTGAATGGGTAGATATTCATAACTGTTTTATCGTAAATGTCTAATCTAGTTACCTAAATCAGATGACGTAAGGAATGGGAGACCAGCTCCAGGTAAAGAATGCAGTCGCACAGTCCTGACAGACGACTTTGATTCAGATCCACAGCCGGGGGATGTCAGCCTCTGCTCACTAAGGTACCGCGCTACGATAACGAAACAAGAATGCCACCAGAGACTGTGGACCCCATGAAAGTATATCATATTGTTCCCCTAATCCCGACGAATCCAATTATGTTCCAAATTTTTTAAGGCCCCTGTCACTCAGCGGCCCCACGAATCGTCTTAAGCTTCCCCCCTCCTTGCGTCCCTGATGACGCAGTTCCTCGTATATTAAAATCCATTTAATTACATTACAATTATTAAATATGTTTCCGATGGCTGTGAGGCTCTGTTAAATTCTGTTTTCCAATTTGCATTTAATTGCCGCCTGCTCGTGAAGCGGAGCGGCTAAATTGCATTAAATGAATTCATTTAAGCACCTTGAAGTGTGATCAGACTTGGAAATCCCAGCAATCTGCTGAAGCCGACATGTCTGTTCCCGGCTGCTGTGCCACAACCTTGCATAGATCCCCTCGTGTTAATCACAAGTCACAGTACACTGGCGTGAATTAAACGAGACAAGGCCGCCGCTTTTAAAGTATGTGCTGCGCTCGATGTAACATTAAATAACGCCCCCTCGTTCCCGTTAATAAAAGTCTTAAAGCAGCAATATATTCGGCTGCTTAGAATGATAATGCAGTTAGCTGCAATATACGGAAAAGCTCACCTTGAAAACTTTCTTTGCATTCACGACACGACATGGAAGTAGGGGTATGCCCACATACTCACAGAGGCATGTTTCTTTTCTTTCTAGTATTTGAATGACGCACTAAATGAAACACTTACAAAACGGTCAATAGAACACATACATGTCGTCATTCCATTTGTTGGATTTGATGCAACACTGGTAGCAGTGGGAATAGGCTATTAAATAAGACAAGGCGATGCAAAACTAGAAACTAGCAAAATCATAGCATATCTGAATAGCAAGTACAAATATGATTGACGTTTTTTCCGTAGAAAAATGAGGGGTGGAAGTCATATAGTTTTATAAACCATAATTGATTTATTCTGTCCAACAGTCCAGAAAGGGATACATTGGGCGTTCTTTTCCAATGGGGGTGTTTTTTTTTCCTTCCGTAAAATACTATGAAATAGATATGATGTTCTTGGAGGTTAAAAAATATATAACGAGTATTTCACGTTTGTGAGGTTAGACATATGCAAGGGAAGACGGCGGGAAATCAACAGGAGAGAAAAGGAAGAGAGCGAGCGAGCAAAGCGTGGAGAGAAGGCGCTTGTCAGGGGGAAGCTTGCTAAGAAAACGCCTTTTTGAGGTCAAAGGAGGAAAATTGACTCGCGGTTATAAATCGCAAGGTTGGGTAGTGGGAATTTATTCTGCGGCCATAAACCACAGAGAAACGGCGTCAATAAGCCTTTTGTTGCGAAGTCTGTTGAATAAGCAGAATACGAGAAAAGAGGTGTCTAAGGAGGCGTCTGAGGACAGTCGGGGGATCCGCCTGTGTATGTATCTATATATATATGTGTATTCATGAGGATTGCGGCAGCTAGCAGGTACATAGGACATCCTTAAGGCCAGCTTTAGAAGTTCATCTTGCATCCGTCTGTTTGCTTCAACCCAGAGTGATCTTTGTTGTTGTAACATTACAAGTCTGATGACGATATATGTAAACCCTTACTCGTAAAACAATTAACACCTTGAATATTTTGTATCTTCACTTGGAAAATAACGACAAGAAAGCACACGTCTAGATTTGCATTCTAAACGATTTCCGCTGTAAACGACCATAATTCAGCGCAGAAGCAAACCCAAGCCGAAGTTGCATATATCTGGATTTTTCCCGTTTGTAAAACGCAACCTGAAGTCTATGTATCTATTAGGAGGGATCGTGTTTCAGTTTTGTGTGGGACTGCTTATAAAACCTTAACTTATACTGCAGCAAAGAAGGTCCCGCAATATCATCTGCCTCCTTGCCCAGTAATGAAATGTTAGGATCACTTCCACAGTCCTTTCTCCCGGCCGAGGTGGCTGTGTGGCCGCCTTGCTAATTCCCGGGGTAATTGAAACGCCGGGGCGGCGTCGCCGAGCGCCCTCCCGTCAGTGCCCGAGTCAGGTACGGTGGACCTATTCCTTATTTTAATTTAGGACCGCCGGACTATTTCTATAAGCTCCCTTTTAACCCACGGTTCCTTCAGTGCAGTTTGCTTAACATTTTAAAGGTTGTTTTCCATCTCTCAAATTGGGAAATAAATATGAGGGCCCAGGGATCATGGTTTATAATTAAACTGTCCTGCTTGCTTGGAGGCAGCGAGCAGACGGGTCACGTTGTAGACGCTGTAAATCAGGGCAGCAGCAGGAAAGGGGCTACCAGGAACTAATTTGAAGATGTCTGTCTATCGGACCTAACACAGCTTTGGTTTGCATTTAGGGGACTTTGGTGTGTGTGTGTGTGTGCGTAATTGGGGGGGGGGACTCTTAGATTGAATGCATGTAGGGAAGTCACTGGTCTGTGCCCCCTCATTCTGGGTATCTGCTTGAAAATAGCATCCACAGTGGTAAGGGAACTGTTAAACACATCGTTAAATATTGTTAAACACTATTAATTCCTTCAATATTATTAAGAGTTTCTTTCTAAAAATAAATAACTGCACTCATTGTCAGAGGGGAAGAGCTGATAGCAGTAACTAATTTGCAGCATTTCGTCTGCACCCTTACAGAAGACCAGGCCTGACAGGCAGGCCCCTCAAAACATGGGCCCCTCGACAGGTGGGCCCCTCGACAGCTGCCCCCCCCCCCTTCACCCCGCCTCGTAGGGTGACCTCAGCCTCCTTACTGGTCGCAAAGGCAGCGTCACAGTTGGGTCCCGTTTCTCAGGCTGCGTGGAAAAAAGCTCAGCAAACCCTGTCCGTCGCATCCCCTCGCTCGCTGTGAGCTGAATTGAAAGTCTCTGATATAAACAAGACAGTTTTCCAAGGTAAAATAAAGTCTGACAATAGAGAATAAAAATTTGTTGCATCTCTACGTGAAAAACTGCTTCTGTCCACCTGGCTTATTGTAAGATTTTGGCCTTTTCAGGATGACTTCATATGCGGCTGCTGTTTGTGTGGCTCCAGATTTATACCAAAGGGCTGTAATTTTTCCCCCAACGATTTGTAAATAATACGATAAATATGATGACAATCAATTAATAAATTAATGAACATTTAAGCAAATTAATAATCATTCACATATTTCAGTGGTTAAGTTCCCAATTAATGAGTTTAAAACACTCAACAGTGAAAGTGCTGTAAAGTAACAACGTATTTTTTGGCACTTTGAAACATTTCTGCTTGGATTTGCTCTTGTTTCAGCTCTTTTCAGGTGAGCTGCCGCAGATCAGCCGCTGTCTGTCGGGCTAATGTGCCGTCACAGGGTCACATCTGCACCTCAGCAGAATAATAAAACACTTCAGCTCTCAAGGACGTGGCCTCTCTCTGCACCTGCACTAAATTTTATTTGTATTACCATGGAGCAAGTCACTAGGCTCTGAGATATGTGATTATAAATACTATAAAAATAACGAGTGGTAGCCAAGTGGCTCTGTCTGCTGTTTTCAGCACAGTAAACAGTGAGCATCAGACTGGGGGTAGCAGGGTTGGGGCCATTCCGGAATGCATTGATCAATTCCAGTCCAAATCAGAAATGGAACTGGAGCTGGGATTGGAAAAAAAAACTACGGGGAATAGAATTGGAGTTGAATTTGAATTTCAGGGAGATTTAAGTTCCAACTCCAGTTCCATTTGGGCTGGAATTGATCAATGCATTCCGGAATGGCCCCAACCCTGGGGGGTAGTTACACTGTACACTGTACACTGTACACTTCACCCCCAGCCTTCCTGGTATATCCTGCCATTTTTTGAGGGAACTCGCCTTTCCACAGCCCAGCACTTGTTCCCATGGCGACTTGCCGGTGCAGGAAAGCGAATGGTGGTTTGCATTATTAATACATTTCATTAATTATGCAAATGGCGTCCCGCTGTAAGTATCCAGGACCGAGGAACACCGGGTTCCGCCTCTTAAAGGTTCTAGCCAAGCTGCCGTGGGGGGTTTTGTGAACACCGTCTCGCCTGGCCTTCCTCGGGCCCTGGGCCCCGATTCCTCATGCACCTCCCTGACAGAACAGAGCCTAAGGGGAGAGAGAGAGAGAGAGAGTCTCCGCTCAGAGGTGATCTGGCCCACTGGATATCCTGCCTTATTTACAAAGACCTCGGAAAATATTCTCTGAGCCTGCAAAAATTCATATTCTCATTGAAATTCTTTTCTGTTGGAATTATATAATATAATGCCACCTTACACGTCTCAGAAGTTAATATATTATGGTTTTCCATAATGATAAATTAATGTTGTAATTGAATGATTTAAATAAACCAAGCTATTTACTGTTAATGTGCTAAATTATCAGTTTTGGTAAATTAAATTAGACTGTCAGACTCAGCACCAGTTACCTGCCTTTTTTCCCCAGTTTAGGTCATTTCCTGGAGGCTTCAAAGCTAAACTGAACAGTAAACATCAAGCCAGGGCAAGATCTTGTGAGTCGACCTCACATTTCTGTTCCCACAATGCACACAACTCACAAAGCAACTCAAACAAGCATCAGAAATTGTTTAAGAGAGCTCATTTACGCCCCCCGCCCCCCCCTCCCCACCCTCGGCCCTGCTGTGTCCCAAAACGGGCCCATTCTTACATGGTAAGCAGACACATTTTACTTTAGTGCCTCTGAGAGCAGTGAGAGGGGGGGGGGGGACGACAAGTTTTACCGGTCTGTGTGGGATCTGTAAGTAAGTGTTTGTTGCCATGGTGACTTTGGCTGAGTTTCTACACAATGCGTCAGTGTTGAGGGCAAATTAACTGCTGTTTGAATTCTTTGTGAAGTCATTGATTGGTGGTTATTTGTAATAACAGGGTATGTTTCTAAGAAGAAAACACACAGCAAATTACTGCCAGGACACAGCAATCCCTGCGGCAGCGATCTGCATCGTTACAGGTGATTTAAAACATACGGTTCGTTTGCAATTTAGCATTCAGTGAATAATGGCATGATAAAGAAAAAACAGGATGTTCTGTGGTTTGGTCCTGCTTGAAAACAACCTGCAAATGAGTTAGCAATAGCAGTGCTTGGTTTCCAAAATAATGCTGTCTGTCGGGCAAGTGCGCACATCCGTCTCTGTAACGTAGGTGCAGGTCGACTGTTCTTGGAAATAAGAATATTTTCCGATTACAGCCCCGCTGTTATTTTTTCATACTTTTTTTCAGATAATTCATAAGTGCAAATATGTATAAAAACAAAATATAAACATTTTACATAAAGACGAAGAACATCATTAACAATCATATGTTGACATACGTAATAAATTCAATATTGCTCTATATAACGAACCTGCAGAATGACTTTCTCTATGTACAAATTCATCTCTTTGTCATTGACGGTCCTGAGGAAAGGAGACAGATTTATTTGAACAGCCTGCGATGTTGAAATGGCTTATGGTCATGGTTTTTAATTTTAATTTTTTTTTTTGATGAATGTCCCGCATTTGCCTCATTAGGAGAAACGGGAGAGCGGTCCGGTCCCTGAATGAAAAGCAGCCGTCAGGACTTTCGGTAAATGTAATCTCCCATCTCATCCGGCACCTCACGCTCTCACAAGCAGACAAGCATCGGGGCCAGATAAGCCGGCAGATGGTTTAGAAAACACGGCATCTCAGCAAAGCTCACGCCGCGATGCTGGAGTACGCCACTGTCACATTTAAAGCGGCCTTTGTTTTACGGCGGAACGGCGGAGAAAAACTTTGTCTCATCAGCAAAGTGTGGCTGAGCCTTAATGACCTGACTGTAGTATCAGGTGACAGAATCCATCTTACAAGTTTTAGCTTTTGGCTAATTGTAAGTATTCTTCCTCCATTGCTGCTTATTTAGGACACGTCACCTCGATCTGGAGGCTTACAGCTGGAAGAACATCAACCACATACTGTCAATACCATCCATCCATCCACCCATCCATCTTTCTACTTGTCCAGTCCAGGGCTGTGGTGGAGCTTTCGCCTGTCCCAGGCATCGCAGAACGCAAAGCGACGCTGTTGCCCACTGAGCCCCTGTGCTACTGATAACTGGTAAAACATACAACACACAACGATAAATTTTCCGTCACCATGGACAGTTATATTAGTCGTTCCCACGGCGATAGTACATCTGCGTGTTTCAAGCTGAAAAAAAACCCCCCAAAAACATTCACTTAAACAGGTGGGCCCTGATTATTATGGAATTGATCAGGTATGATTTTGCTGTCTTCTGTCAATGGATGAGTGTTGGCTGTATGTTAGTTGGGTTTCTTTACATCCCTGTCATTCTTACAGGCGTCTTACGAATTTCTGCGCGTTACCGTGGGATCAGAGAGTAAGGCGGCAGACACCTTATTGAAGGAATGTGAACATTAAGCCTGAATCTGACTAACTGAGCTAACTTTTTGTACCCCGGCATCCTGATACGAGCGGCTGCGAAAGTAGTACACGCAGTCGCGCTATCATAACATGGGGGGACATTGTACGAAGACCCTTCAGCTGGGCTCACAAAGAGAAGCCAGCTCTGGACAGTGCCGGTTGCCATGGTTATGCCCAACCAAGCCATTATCTTTATGGGCTGTAAAAAGAGGCTCGGTGTGTCATTGTGCAGAAGGGATCCTTGTCCTGGACGTGTTTTGACAGCATACTAAAATTCCAGGAGCCTGCAGCAGCTTCAAGGGACGAGCAACAAAATGTGTCTGTTCCAATCTGATCATTACCTCATTTATCATTAGTGGCTCATTAATGCCTCATTTATCTTTTCATTTTAACCAATAATGTCCAGGACCGTGAACAGATGCTGCACATGAGGAACCATGCGGAGGAAAGTTTGTCACCTCGAATGAAAATCATTTCAGAAAATCATCGCTGTTCTTCTGTACTCTCCTACATTGGTGGGATGGCAAAATTATTTTCTATTTTAAGGAAACCAAAGCGATATGCTACTACCGCCGGACGGAGGGTCCCGTATTTCGAGGTTTGAGGTGCTGTCCATGTTTCCCTCAGCTTGAAATAAACACGATTTAAAAAAGAGCTCTAGAATCTCCATGGAGGATAAGTGCAGCTCCGCGGGTGAAGCTTGTTGACGGGGAAGTTGACCGTCACTCCAGCTTAGCCACACGGCATCGTGGGTAGCACCCGGCAGGGTAGTTGTGTCAGCTTTGCTGAGCCAATCAATTAAAATCTTGTTATAATTCATGCCTTGCCAAATAATTGTTATACCTGGAGTATGAGCCAGTCATTGATTTATTTTACGTGTTCAATACTTCATCTGAGACCTCAAAGCAGGCCTGATTGCCCATTACGGGGGGTGTCGTGCAGTGAGTCACTGTTCTGCCTGATTTTAATGCTATTAGCTCAAAAACAGCAGAAACCCAACTGCTCATAAATCCAACATGACCAGACATGAATATTAGTCCTATTTTTTGTTTGTGAGAAAAATTCCCGGTAGAGAGGCTCTGGTTCATCTAGGACAGCCAGTGACAACATGGTGGTGGTGGGGGGGGACTAGGGGGTTGTCAGTGACATCATGCATGTGGCATGTGGGCCAAAGAAGGCTTCCGGGGGATTGGAGACCCCACCCTCCCCAGGACACGTCAGTGGAAGATGGAAGAAGAAGACGGAAGGTCAGTCAGCCTTAATGTTCAGTATACCTGCAAAACTGGGCCAGGCGAGGTTGGAACAGTCTAGAATCAAACAACGAGACAAATGAGGCTTCGCTAACCCTGATCCTAACCCTAACCCTGATCCTAACCCTAACCCTGATCCTAGCCATAAATCTGCCAAATTGAATAATTTCATAGTCCTGCTGCTGATGACTTTCCTGAAATGTGTCATTTTCCTTGTAGCATGTTCCCTAGAATGCAAGGAGTATCACACACCACAACACGCCGCGTGAATTTCTGCAGATAATTACTGATTCAGATTTTATTATCCCGGAGGAAATTACTAAATTGTTTGATCAGTTATACATTGTACACCCTTGTAGATATCTGTGTTATACTATTCAAATATTTATGTGAAACACTATTTTTCTGTAAAAACATTTTAAATGAAGTCTAGAGCAGGTTTATTGCTTGCTGTTTGGCTCTCGTTGCACGCAGAGAGGGAAGGGCGGTCCGGCTGGTGCGATACCTGAAGCCCCGCCTCCAGGCACAAACAGACACGCTCAGGCAGAGCCCAAACAAAGCCGGGTTCAGTATCACCTCAGATAAAATTCCCGTGGGCGAGGGCCTGACTAACCTCGCGTCACCGCAAACGCAGTAGCCGAGTCACACTGACGGATCGCACAGACCCGCCCCTGTCTTTTAAAATGTGGCTGGGAGCCCTTCAGTCCGGTTTCACTCCCACCCCCCCCTTGGGAGGCGTGACTCACTGTCTCACTGCCTCGGCTCGAGAGCGCGAACGTCGAGTGTCAGCGGTCAGCAACCCCACTGCCTCCCTAGGGCCCCCTCCCCCCAGGGACGGTGTGCCGGGCTGGAGGCGGAAATCCAGCACCTCTCTCTCTCTCTCTCGACGAGATTCAGCACAGATGCGATACCTGCTGCAAATAGACAGCAAAGCAAACAACACAGACATGCACTGAGAATATGACTCAGCTCAGCATCAGGGGCGGCAGTAAAGGAAAACAACCCGTGACCAGCATATTACTGCAAATTGCTGAACCCGTGACCCTGAGCCTGACCCCGTATGGATGGATGGACCGATGGCTGGATGGGTGTTACCTGCAGCACAGTGACACACTCAAAGACAAAAATTAATTGTGGATCATTAGGAAACACGTTTTTTCTCTTAAGGCTGGTTCATACTTCTCCGCACGGGCGCAAAACTTGCGTGTCCGTACGCGTATGTGTACACGGAAATGTACACGAACATGTTCATAGCCCCCCCGTCAAGCGTTATATTCATATTTCTTATTAATAACAACTTAAAATATTATTGATATTCTCTGCACACGTACCACTGTAGTGAATACTGGAGTCTTTGTAAAGACTAAACACAAATTTCAACTACTGCAGCAGTACATAATGGTGAAAACAAGGGGGAGGTCAGATGCCAGGCAGTAAGGCACACAGACGGTGGGTAATTCATACAATGTCTAAAGACACGTGGGGATTGGACACGATTCAAACACGACACGGGCAAGGGCACACGCGACAGTCTGAAACACAACAAGTACTTACACAAGGGCTATTTACAAATACTGCAGAGCATGCTGGGATATGCCAGCGAGCTCCCCTATGGTGCCATCTCAGGTGCTACAGTATTATATAAGTACATTATATTGCATAATAATTTTTGATATGATCATCCCTGCTTTCTGCAGTGTTTGAGTAAGAAAGCCACACATAAGACGGTCGAAGCTGAATAGCAAAGTGACCAGCCTCCCCCCCCCCCCCCCCCCCCCCCTCCTCCACACCACCAGAGGCCAGTTTGTCTCACCTCAAATGTCCCGCAGCTACCTAGCGATACAAACCAGCCTCGGCCCTAATCACAGAAATCCATCTGTGTTTGTCTCTGAGTGCTTTCTGCGACCTCTTTGAGTCTCTGTTTACGGAGACATGTTAATTCGTAAAGAAAATGGCGGAGCGTTAATGTCCTGACAGAAACATGCTCCACACTGACTGTCTGCCCAGTGTGGTCCAGCTGCTTCACTCCATTTAAAATAAAGCCTTTCGTATTGTTACAAGATATTATAATTCTACACTTTTAGTGATGGCTATTTTACCATGAGTAACCATCCATCCATCAGTCCTTCCATCCACTTTCTGTGTCGCAGGGGTCTAGAGCCTATCCTGGAAGCCATTGGAGCAAGGCAGGGAATAACCAGTTAAATATATTTCCTTGGCATCCAGTTGGGGGAGGTTTTAGTCCTAAACTTCAAAGTGGGTTTTTGTCAGCTGCTGCAATCACCCAAACACAGAATCTGATGGCTAACGATATATGTAGCTATTCCAACAGAGCGACCCAAGCCCAAAGCGCCGTGACATCGTCGTGAAGCTAGGTGGCGCTCGTGAGGGACCCCTCTGGCTCGTACCGCACCTGCCATCGGAGCTTGTGTGCACTTGCCCTCCTTAGGGCGGATTACCGGGAACTAAGCCAAGTGAGACAACAAACACTGATTGACTGTTTCCAGCCGGTAGAGGGGCATCGGGGTTGATGTTCACCTCGCTAATTCTGATGCACCACACGGCATAAGGAACTGCCCACAGAAACTCTGCGAGTTTATCTGCACTTAATTACGGCTCCGTTGCCGTGACTAAGCCTTCCACGATAGCTGAGCTCATGCGACATGCACTGAATTCCATCCGCTACATAGTATATCCTGTCTACTGACTCCAGATGAAAGGATGGAATTTGGGGGGGGGGGCATGCGTCAGAGTTGGGTGGGAAATACAGATGGCACCTCCCGCAACCAAGAGGAGAGAGGTGATCTTCAAAGGACACCTTCAGAAACCACTTTATGCCCTCTGTCGGGAGTGAAGGATAGGTGCAGATTTCTTATTAATCCTACTGAATGCCAATGGCTCTAGGGCCGTGCCAACGTCTATGCCAACAACCTCAGGTATGCAAACAAACAACCAGCAGCAATAAAAAACGTAAACGGGCATCGGCCCAGCGTAAACACAGAGCTTCACTTAGCATTTGCACAGCTGGCATCAAAAGGGATCTTTGTTGCGTTAAACTCATCTTCAATACCCGAGAGCTGAGATGCAAACAGCAACCGGATGAATATATTTTAATCTAAAAGCTTCTTATTAATGATATAAATCCATAAAAGCAACGCGCACACACACACATACAAGTGGAGTAAATGTGGAGTGGGCGTGCACCCCCGCAGGCCGACTGGGACTTCTGCATCATTTCACACGACGGGAACACCCTCTCTTTTCAGCTACCATCCCTGGGGATCTATGAAACCACTCGCTCTTAGATAAAAAGGAGGGAAAGTCACTGGCCGGGGACAGAGAGAGGCCACCCTAGAGAGAACGGACAAAGGAGGTCACGATGGCCAATCACAGCGGCCCGTATCAGACAGTGATTGGGCACTGAAGTGAGCGCATCCCTGACCCTTCTCCAGCCCCCCCACCCCCCAACCCTCCCACCCCGCTGGTGTCATGTTAAGGATCTAGCTTGTAGCAGCCAATAATGTAATAACTGCCAATAAAGTAAAGTATTTTTTATACATTATGGCCGCCAGTCTGGTCAAAAATGTAATAACCAACCAATGAAGTAATAACCAACCAATGAAGTAATAACCAACCAATGATGTAATAACCAACCAATGATGTAATAACTCTTTGTGCCTGATATGAAAGGGTATTACATTATTGATTCAGATTTTTTTTTACGTTATTGGTAAGTTATAACATTATCGACTTTTATTACATTGAGAATGGAAAAATCATTATGTTATTTGAAGTTATTACATTATTGGCTGCTTCCCAGCTTAATGAGTTTAGATTTCCCCTGGTTTGGTGCTTTGACTCTCCCATGGACACCAAGACCTCAGCATTCCTCAGTAATGTAGCACAGCTGGGATAAAGAGGGGAACTAGACTTTAGACCAGGAAAATAATAGAAATGGGATCATTAGTTACTCACACGTCCAATTTAACTTGAATGCTCCTGGACCAGTGGAGTCCAGGCAAGGTAATTGTGACATAGACAAAGAGGCAGGGCCCATCTCAAGGTGCTCAGGAGAGATGCTAAAGTCATATATGAAGAAGTATATTTGTAAGTAGACTAATACCATAAAAAATCATATGTATCTGTCTTCCAAACTGCTTGTCTTGCACTGGATTGTGGTGAGCCTCACCTTGGAAGAGCAACACCATGAGACGGGGACACCGTGGACAGGGTGCCTGTCCATCACAGAACACACACTCACATGCAACAGAGAATTTAGAGACATAAATCTGTCAAACTGCATATTTGTGCAGCAGGAACCCGTGGTACCTGGGGGAAATTCATACAAAGGCATCACCCTGCGGGTATGAGGCTGCAGTAATAGCCACTGTACCAGCAAGCAAACCCAGCGAAAATAGGGAAGTTCAGTGATTGTATTAATACTGTCAGGAACTCCCCAGCTGCCT